ATTTCTCTTTAATTTTTTTAATTTTAATTTTTTTTTTTAAATTTTAGGCAATTGGGGTTAAGTGACTTGCCCAGGGTCACACGGTGAGTAAGTGTCAAGTGTTTGGTCTGAGGCTGGATTTGAACTCAGGTCCTCCTGACTTCAGGGCTGGTGCTTTATCCACTTCCCCACCTAGCTGCCCCCATTTGACGTTTCTCATTGAAAAAGGAGTGGCTTTTTTAGCTCCCTAATCTTCCTTTGAATATGAACCCAGACCTTCTCTATCCCCATAGTAACTATCTGTGGCTGGGTTCCTTCTCCTTTGTTTACTCATCTTTATTTATTTATTTATTTGTTTTTGCAGCTATTATATGTAATCAAGTTGTATGTATGCAATCAAATTGTAGTCCTGAGGCATGAGCAATGATGCCCCAAGCCTCAGGTCCTTCTTACTGTTATTTTCTGAGGTCTATCTTGGGCTCTCTTCTCTACTCCTAAGCCACGGGTAGGGCCCCTAGCCCCACTGTCCCATAAATGGTCTTGCTTCCTGTGGTCCCTTCGGTGGCTGCAAACTGCAGCTGTCCTCTCTGCCCCAGACGTGAAACCAGGGACTCTGTTCTCCTGCAAGTGCCCACAGCCAGCAGGGTCCCTGCTTGGGCTGCTGCACTCAGCAGGTGTGTGCTAGTGTCTTCTCCCTGAAGCCACAGCCCGGATGCGTCTGGTCAGCACAGCTGTGCTTTGTGTCCCTCGATAGTAGAAGGTCCTTCTACTGAGTACTCAGCCATCAGACCCCAACACTGTCTACTAGCTGAAAGTTTCTAAGGCTGAGGCTGCCTCTCAACCCAGCTGCCCCCAAGGCTTGTTGTTTGGTGGTTTGTTGATTAGAACTGGCCTGCCAAACCTCGGCTCCAGGAGGTCAGGTCTTTCCTGGAATCTTCCCCTTTGCCATATAGCAGCTGTCAAGGTTCTTGAAGACCTCTCACATGACCCATCCCCCACCCCCATCCCCATCTTTCCAGGCTAATAGATCCCTGAGTACTCTTATGGTGTGATCTCCAGTCCCTTTACTATCCTGGTCAATCTTCACAAATTGTCTTAGGAGAACAATGGCTTTCCCCTATGTTTATTTCTGCTGGTCTGAGGTAATTTTTTTTTTCAGAGGAAATTAAGAGAATTGAAAGTTTTCTTTTTTCTTTTTTTTTCTTTTTTTTTTTTTTTGGTTAGGCAATGGGGTCAAGTGACTTTCCCAGAGTCACACAGCTAGTAAGTGTTATGTTCTGAGGCTGGATTTGAACTCAGGTCCTCCTGAATCCAGGGCCAGTGCTCTATCCACTGTGCCACCTAGCTGCCCCTAGAGCTGAAAGTTTTCTGACTTACTCAGCCATCTTCCTAGAATCCTCTCCTATGGACAACTCCCAAGAAGATTATCTAAGAAGGGATGGAGGGGGAATGGGAGGGCCAAATGAAGGAGATGAGGCAGCCAAACAGTTGAGGTCCAGTCTCAGGGTCACCTAGGCAAGCTTGCGTTATCTTGGTCACATGCGAGCAGCCACAGCAGCTGCCGCTGGGGAAGGAAGAAGGGGAGAGAAATCCCCTTTGCCACAGCTGGAAGTCCAAGGGAGAGCTGGTGTTGACTGTCCCAACAAAGAGGCCATCTGAAACGGCCTGCAGCCATCTCTCCTTGCTCTTTATAGCTCTTAGGGTGGAGGGCTCATTCTGGTTCAGTCACCAGTGATGTCTGACCCCCCCCCATTACCGTGATCATGGCACCAACCGGAAGCTGTTGTTCATGTATGTAAGGGGCTAGATCATGTCTCTCCCTACAGAATGAAAGCTGGGCTCCAATGGAAGTGTTCTAGTCCAGCCCCCGTAAATGCCAAGTCATTTCAGGGTGTGGGGGTGGGCACAGGACATTAACAACTTCAAAGGAATCAGCAAAGTCTTCACGTAGGAAGCAGAGCTTAAGGGAAGCCAGGCACTGTGGTAGGTATGTTAAAATGTCCAAAATGAGTGTCCATACCTTCACCAAACTTACATGCTATTGAATAATAATAACATAGAAGGTCTCATTATAGAATTTTTAAAAATGTCCGAGGGCACCTGGTTCAACTCCTGACCTGAGCATGTAGCTTTTTCAGCATTACCCATAGGTAAGAGTTATCCAACTGGTGTTTTCTCCTGGGACAGCCCATCATATTGTAGGATGGCTCCTACCATTAAAGAGTTCTTCCTCTTTGTGACTTCCCAGCCCTTCAGTTGCTCCTATTTCTGCCCTCTGAGGCAAAGCAGAATAAATCCAACCCCTTTGCCATACAGCAGCTGTCAAGGTGCTTGAAGACCTCTCACATGACCCATCCCCCACTCCCATCCCCACCTTTCCAGACTAATAGATCCTTGAGTACTCTTATGGTGTGATCTCCAGTCCCTTTACTATCCTGGTCAATCAATCAATATATATTTATTAAGGTCTACTATATGCCAAGCACTGGGATGAAGAGAGGGTGTGATTTCATTGGCATTGCAAATTCCCAGGTGAAAAAAGGCACATGATTTGGAATCCTGGCTTGTCTATGTGATCTTGAGAAAGTCAATTCTCTTCTCTGGGTCTCAGTTTCCTCATCTGTAAAATTTGGGTTTGTTTTTTTTTTTCCAGCTCAAAACCGTAGGACAGCGATCCCTCCAAGAAGGGCCCCAGCCTGTCCCCTGTGGATACTTCACTTCCCTATTGCCCTGTTCCTCCTTTGCTCAGAGACTCCATTGAGGACAGGGCCCCAGTTATGCTGATGCAGGGCTTCAACCTACTTCCCCTCCTTCCTGGGGGTAGGACTGGGGATTCCCAGGCTGAGCTGTCTCTAACCTTCCCAGCCTCAGATTCACAGCTGGGAGCCACCAGTTTTAAGTAGGGTTAGAAGGAAAGAAGGCAGGGAAATAGTCATGAGGAAAAGGGAGGGAGATGGTTACTCCTCCCCCACATTTAGGGTTAGAGTCAGTGTACAGAGTCAGAAAGACCCCTACCCTTAGGAAGCCCCTGTTTGGAGAGGGGAGACCAAACCCCTGCCAGAAGGCATTCCTCAGTCTGAGAGGACAGAATCTTGCCTTGCGGGGAATGGTGGGGGAACTTGGTCCTGCCCTCTGGGATCCCCTGGTTTGAGAAGGAAGACAAAGGCCTTGTGCTCTGTCTGAAGGGAAACTTGGTCTCTGCCCTTGGGGACCCTTGGGTTTCAGGTAGAAAACATCATTCTACCAACAAGCAATGGGCCAGGCACTATGTTGGGCCCTGGGGATACTGGGCAAAGACAAACAGGCCTCGTCCTCAGGACTCTACATCTAACTGGGGAAGAAGCAGCCTTCTAGGAATGCAAAACATATACCTCAGGTCAGCTAGGGAGTACAGTGAATAGAGCACCAGCCCTGGAGTCAGGAGGACCTGAGCTCAAATCTGGCCTCAGACACATAACACATAACATAGCTGAGTGACCCTGGGCTTAACCCCGATTGCCTCACCAAAACAACGATAACAACAACAAAAAATATACCAGTATATACTCTGGGGACACTCTGAGTGTATATATGTGCTTTTATATATGTGTATGTATGTATATAAACTATATATATACACATATATGTATATCTATCTCTGTATATATTCTATGTATATGCATATAGGCACATGTATATATGTGTGTATATACCAGTAAATAAAAACTAAATATACTAAATAAATACAAAATAATATGGGAGGGAGTGTTATAGAAATTATGTTCTTTGAGATCCAGAGCTATTTCTTTTTCATTTTTGTATCTTTCAGTGTCTAGAATATTGCCTGGCAGATAGTAGGCAATTTATAAATACTTGTTGACTTATTGGTTGATTGGCCAATTGCCAGGGAGGGGAAGGGAACAAGTATTTATTAAGTACCTACCATGTGCCAGGCACAGTGCTAAGCACTTTACAGATATTGTTTCACAAAATCTTTACACACACAAAAAACCCTGAGAGGCAGATGCTGTTATTATCTTCATTTTACAGATGAGGAAACTGAGGCAGACAGAGGTTAAATGATTTGTCCAGGGTCACACAGGGTATCTGTGACTGGATTTGAATTAATTTTCCTGACTCCAGGCCTAGAACTCTACCTACTTTGTCATCCCCAGCTGATTCCAGCTAAGATTGGGGGGTGGGGGGTGGGGGAGAGGAAATTATGAAAGGCCTTGATTAAGAAGTGTTCCTGGGGGCAGCTAGGTGGCGTAGTAGATACAGCATTGGTCTTGAAGTCAGGAGGACCTGAGTTCAAATCTGGCCTCAGACCAAACACTTGACACTTACTACCTGTGTGACCCTGGGCAAGTCACTTAACCCCAATTGCCTAAAAAAAAAAAAAAAAAAAGAAGTGTTCCTTCAGCCGAGCCTTGAAGGAAGATAGGGAATGAGGAGGGAGAGCATTCCAGGCATGGGACTGTCTGTTCAAAGGTGCAGAGGTAAAGAATGTTGAATAAGGGTCACAGTTTGGGTTGAGTATCTCTGAAGGAAGGTAATAGGACATAAGCCCAGGTCAGAACAAAATGGTAAAGGATTTTAAATGACAGGCCGCTCGGCAGTTCATTCAAGACAAGAGTAAAGAAGGGGGAGTCATGGAACCTTCCTGAGCAGCGGAGTATGGTCAGATCTGTGCTTTATGAAAATCTATCTGGTAGCTGTAGGAAGAGTGAATTGGACAAGGAAGAAGCTGTATGAGGGGAGACTGATTCGGAAGCTATTTGGAGAGTCCAGGAAAAGGGTGATGAGGGCTTGAACAGAAGTGATGCCTGTAGGAGTGGAGAGGAGGGGATGGGTCACCCTGCTCTGAGGAGAGTAGCTCTTCAGAGAACTCCTCATATGAAGCAAAAGACAAAAGTTACTCAGAATGGAGAGTCCCCTCAAGCGTCTGGCAGCTTGCTGTGGCCATACTGGGAACAGGCAGTCCCGGGGGCCCTCGAGCATGAGTTATTACTCCAGTCCAATCCTCTCACTTTTCAGATGAGGAAAATGAGGAAAGCTGGCTTGTCCTCCCATCCCTACATCCTATGCCTCAGGTGGGCAAAGGTTCATTTGGGGCAGGGAAGGTCAACCGCAGAGGTAAGAAACAGGGCCTTCCCTATCCCTGAGCCCAGCGAAGCCTGAGCCTAGACCCCAAATTGGCTGAACTGTGCTTCCCCTTCCCCTTTAGACTATGAGAACTGCGGCTTCTCTGAGGGCTGGGGACAGAAAAGGGGAAGGGACAGAGGATGAAGGGGGAGGGATCCAGGGGACTTGGGGGAGGGACCTAGGGGACTTGTCTTCTTCATCCCTCCGGTCTTACCGACAGCAGCGGGCTCCGCCTGTTCCTCTTCTCTCCCAGCAGGAGCCTCACTGGGTTGCTGAAAGAGGCCAAGAAGGAGCTAGCTCTCAGGAAGCCACCTTTGACTCCAGACTCTCTCCAGGTGAGTCCTTCCCTCCCTTCAGTGGTCTCCACACCTTTGGAAGGGGTCATCTAGCCCGTCCAGACTAAGGAGGCAGGGAAGAGGGTGTGAGGAGGGGATCTTCAGGGATGGAGGGTCTCTGGGGTTGGGTTCCCTTCCTTCCCTCTCCCCACCCTGGGCAGGAAAGCCAAGGCTCTGCATGTAGGGGAGCAGCACACCCCGCTGTGCCGGGCGGTCGGAGAGGTTGCATGAGCATTTCAGGGTTGTCGCCTGGGCTGTGGCTAAAGGCTGGGGCTAGGGAGAGGGTGTCGCCGTTTCTGGAGCAGCTGCTTCCGTTGCTTTTGGGCTGGGGTGGGTGGAGGTGGTAATGAGGGGCAGATGGGGAGCTGCTTTTAGCCCACAGCTAGGAGCCTGAGGCTCATCCCAGGCTCGAGAGAGCTCTGAAGCCTGGCTTTCGGTGTCTCCTTAGGCTGCCGGGATGCAGGCTGCTGGGGCCTGGCTCCCCCTCCTGCTGCCGTGTCTGCTCCTGCTGCTACGTACCTCCAAGGGCCAGAACCTGACTCAGAACTGCAGCCAGGACTTAGACAACAAGACTTGCAGTTGTCTGCTGCCCCACGAGCGGCAAAACTGCACTGACCGCAAACTCTCCGCCGGGCCCATTGTGGGCATCACCTTGGGCTTGGTGCTGCTGCTAGCCGGCGTCGCTGTGGGGACTGTCCTGGGGATCCGCAGGAAACGGCGCCGGGATGCCCTCGAGACCTGTCCTTGGAAGCCTTCGGAGAGCGGCTCGGCCCCGGGCTGGCAACCCCGTTATAGCAGCCGGAGTGTCGGGCAGTTCACTGAGGCCACTACCCCCAGCCCCTCGGCTGCCCCAGGCCCAAGCAGCCCCGGGGCTCTGCTCTATGAGAACTTGTTTCTGGGCTCCCAGCCTAGCAGCCAGAGCCCGAATCCCAGGCAGAGTCGGTGAGTGACCAGCCCTCACTCCCGGAGATCCGCTTCTCATCCTCCCTCCCGCTTCTCCTTCAGGCTTCAAGTAGATGAGCCGACATGCACGTAACCTTTACACGTAGCCATAGGTGGCCCTCACGATTACTCTGTGCCCTCTAAGAGCTTTAAATGCCAACCAGAGGAATTTTTTAATGCTAGAGGCCGTGGGTGGAAGGCCAACCCATTTTATAGGTGAAGAGACTGAGTCCCAGAGAGAAACCCAAGGTCACACAACAGCAGTTTCAGCACTCATCTCCAAGATTTGCACAATGTTCTACGCTTGCTTTACTTGTTAAAAGAATAATTACCTTAAACGAATCTCTAACTGGTGAGATAACTTTCAGGGAATCTTTTTCAGGGTGAATCAAAAGGGATGGACCCTTCTACCCTTATCCATATCCCCTAGTACCCAATAGGGTTTGGCACAGCTGAAACATGGTGTGACAGAGAGTTCTGGAATAAGAGTCAGAAGATCTGGGTTTTAGTCCTTGCTTTTCTGCTCTCATTTACCCTCCCTGGACCTCAGTTTTTTCATCTGTAAAATGGTTAGGCTGTCAGACTAAATCAGAGTCTCAAAGCTTGCAGGGACCTTGGAAGACCCCCTAGTCCAGCCTCTTCCTGTACTGGATCTCACTCTGTGACATTGCCTGACATGTGGCCATCTCAGGCTCATCTCCACGAGCTCTGGAGGAAACCCATTCCATTATTGTTCAGTTTACATGGGAATGGGAACTACTTAGATCTGCCTCCATAGCCAGCTCCCCTGGTTCTGGGACCAAGGAGAATATGTTGAGTCCCTTCCAAATGACAGTCCTTTACACACTTGAAAACAGTTATCACGGGCCGCTCCTCCACGATAGTGTCTCTTCTCCAGGCTAACCCCAGTTCATGCAGCTGAACCTTTGTTTCTGGTTCCCTCCCCATCCTGGTTGCCCTCCTCTGGACACCTACAGTTTTTGATGTCCTTGCTAAAATATAGCTCCAGAACTGAATCCCATATTCCTCATGCAGTATGAGCAGAGGACAGAGAACAGCATCTCCCTCTCCCACATTATGCATCTTAAAGGAACCTGAAATTGCAGTTAGCCAGCACCTGAGGTCACTTCTGGCCCTGACCTGCTGTTGGAAGGCTCCTTGCAGATGATTATAGAGATCGTGCTAGAAAGTACTTCAGAGATTATTCTCCAACCCTTTCATTTTTCAGTTGAGGAAACAGAGATGGAGAGCATAGGTGACTTGTCTAAGGTTTCTGGGGTTTTATTCAGGCAATCTCCACCCCCAGCTCTTCCAGGGTCATAGCACAAGTTGCAGAGGGGTCCTGGAAGGGTCCCAGTCCAGTGACTCTTTGGAAAAGGGAAGGAGTCAGCCCAGACCTAGCCTTGTTCAGCTCTCTCAAACCTTGGCCAGGCAGGGCGGTATAATAGACAAAATGAATGCTTGACTTGAGACCCAGAAGACCTAGGCTTGGATTCTGCTTCTGTACTGGCTGTGTGACCTTGTGTATGCCACTTAATTTCTCTGAACTTTAGTTTCCTCATTTGTAAAAAGGAAGGGGTTAGATTAAATGACCTCTGAGGGCCTGAGTTCAAATCTGGCCTCAGATACTTACTAGCTGTGTGACCCTGGGCAAATCATTTAATCCTATTTGCCTTAGTTTCCTCATCTGTAAAAAGAGATGGAACAGGAAATGGCAAACCACTGCAGTGTCTTTGCCAAGAAAACCTCAAATGTGGTCACAAAGAGGGTCACGAATGGGGTCATAAAGAGTTGGATGCAACTGAAAATTATTGAACACCACAAAGTCCCTTCTTCCAGCTCTAAATCTGCAATCACTCACTCCACCAGAAGGTCAGAATAAGTTTCATTTCCTCCCTGGCTTCCCCCCAGCCCACCCCAACACTTTCCTAACATCTGGCTTGTCTTTCCTCCTCCAAGCAGAGGGTCTTCGCCAGATCCCGAGGCCCTCTACATGAACTATGAGGACAGCTCCAGGGCTGAGCATCCCATCTATGGCAACGTGAATAATCTGACCTGCATCCCGGATCCCCAAGCGCCCCATCATCCTGAGGCTGAGGATGAGGATGAATACGTGGTACCAGGGTGCTGAACTCTCCAGACCGGAAATCCCGGATCTAGAGACCAAGGCCAGCACCTAGACTCGGCCGGACTTTATGCAAATGAGCCAGCCAGCCAGCCAGCCAGCCGGGAACTGAAGAGAGTTTGGGCAGCCCCGAAAATGTAATAAAGAAATTCAGTATAGGCTGAATTGTCTCCCCTCCTCCCCTACCCTATCTCCCTTACTTCTTTCTCCAGGGTTCAATTTTGATCACCATAGCTGCTCTCTTCTCCTTCCTACCGCAGAGGAGAGCTGACCAAACCGGAAGCCACCCCTTCCCCTTTGCTGAGCTTGGGCTCCAAAAAGGGAAAGAGAGCAGGGCGTAAATGCGACCTGCGAACCGGACTTCGTGGGCTGGCTGTGGGGGCAGGGTGAAGGTACGAGGCGCTGGGGCTTCCTCGCCAGCAGCTTTGTGCCCCATCCTCATCCCCTACCTGCAGGGGAGGGGGTGCAGGCCAAGTTGGGAATCCTGGGCCAGTGGGAAGAAGGACGCCCCTCCCCATAGATCTGCCAGCAGCCCCTCCGTGCGATATAATTCAGCAAACGTTTATTAAGCACCTACTGTGCACCAGGTACTGTGTTTGGTGCTGGCGATACCAAGACAAAAAAGAAAAGGAAAGGAAAAAAGAAAGAAAGAAGTAGTTCCTGCTTTCAAGGTGCTAATTAGGTACATATATAAGAAAACATAACTATATACAATATAATATATAACTATATATTATGTAATATAACATCTCTCCTCAAGGAGATATGAGACAATAGCTATCATGAATGATTGAATCAATGGAGGGTTTTTTAAGGATGAGAGAGATATGGGCATGTTTTCCACAGCAGGGAAGAAGGGAGAGAGACAAAGATAAGAGAGAATTGGCATGATAAAGGGGGCACGGTGCTGGAGAAACTGGGAGGGGATGGTTCAAAGGTGAATGTTTGGAGAAGAGACTATCTCTTCATTGTAGTAAAAGCAGAGATAGTTGGGAAAGGTGTCCGAATGATGTGAAATAAGGAGGAGGGGACAGAGGTGAGCCACAAGGCTCATTCCTGGACTTTCAGAACTTGACATTGGCAGCTCTGCGTAGAATGGTTTGGAGAGGCAGGAGATTAAGGGGCTTTTTCAGTGATCTGGGTGGAGCCTCTCTCTATGTTAGGAGGTGCCTGGCATTTCTCAGGCAGATTGCTCTAGAATCACACAATTTTCTAACTTCCCTGGTAGCCTAGGGAATCCAACTGCTGGTGTAGATCAAAGTGTAGAGAAGTGAGGGCCCCTAAGACCTTGGTAAAATTAATAGAATTGGACACCCAACTTCTTCTTGGGTGCTACTGGGAGACAGGACTTTCTTAGCAGAAAGAAGTCTCCATTTGGAGCTGGAAGACCTAGGTTCAAATCCCAGCTCTCCTACCTATATAATTTTGAGAAATCACTTTTTTCCTCTGTGGGCCTCAGTTTCCTCATCTGTAAAATGGAGTTGGAGTGAAAGGTTTCTGAGATTCCTTCCAGATAGAAATCTATGATCCCAGGCTAGTTATCATTTCCATGAGGCTCTCCACAACAACCCTGAGATGCATTAAATACTACTATTCCCATTTTACAAATGAGGAAATTGAGGCTTAGGATAAGTGACTTTATTTTATTTTATTCTGAACTTAACAAAACTCAGATAAAATGAGCATTTCCATATACAATGTAGGCAAGATAAGATACTGTACACTGAGGTCCTTTCTTGAACTAAACTGCCAAGCATTCAAACTCTACTGTAGAGAGTACAACCCCGACAGGCTGGCCACATTGTTTGAATGCAAAACTTATGCTTGCCAAAAAGACTATTTTATGGAGAACTCACACAAATGTTCACATGGTGGTCAGAAAAAGAGATACAAGGAAACCCTCAAGGTCTCTCTTAAGAATTTTGGGATTGCATGACATGGGAGACACTGGCATGGATCATGGAGTATGGTGTGCCCTCATCCGAGAGTGTGCTGTGCTTTATGACCAAAGCAGAATTGAAGTAGCTCAAACGAAACTCAAGATGTGCAAATTTAGAGAATCCACCCCAAATGTTCACATGGACAATTTTTGCCTAACTTGTGGTAGAGCATTCTGAGCTCATATTGGTCTGATCAGCTACAGTCAGGTACACTGTAACTTGAGTCTATATTGTATTTCATGTACAGTACATGAAACTGTGAATCTCTGTTAGATAAAGCCTGAGATTAAGGTTCACACAATTACCCTTGGGATTTGAATCCAAGTCTCTTCTGACTTGAAATCCAGTTATCCATGCATGACATCATTGAAAAGCATTGGAAGCAGAAAGACCCACTGTTCTCTTACCACTCTCAGACAGGCTGGCTTGAATTCAAATTCTACTCTAGGTCTGAGGGCACATTTTAGAGGGGCACCCCACCCCTACTGTGACCCCTCACTCCCCCCTGCCAGGAGTGAAGCCTGCAGCGGCTCCTGTGAGTGGTGCACCTGGAGGCAGCCGGCCACAGTCCTGGGCTCTTTCACAGGCCCTTGGATGGAAGCTAGTTGCTCCAGGGTCACCAGTGACACTGTCCCAGCCACACACTAGCTCACCAGGTGCCTGGGCTCTCTGCATGTATGTCTCTAGCCAGAGTAGCTTATCCCTTGGTTCTTCCTGACCAGCCACCTGGGTCCTTGAGTTCCTGGCTCCTTTTTCCTTCCATCTGGGGCTGTGGTCTCCTCCCACCCCCACAGCCTGAGGGTTTGGGGTTCTCCATACTTGGGCGCATGGTTAGATCGGTGTAGCCACCTGAGGGACCTTGGATAAGTATAACCTCTCTGGGCCTCAGTTTCTCCATCTGTAAAATGAGTGGATTGGACCAGATGACCTCTAAGGTCCCTTTCAGCTCCAAATCTACACCAGGGATGTCAGTATTAACAATCCCACAAAGCTGGCATTGTCTCCATTTTATAGATGAGGAAATTGAGGCTTCAAGAGGACAACTAAGTGACACAGGGAGAATTTGAACCAATCAATCATGCGGTCAATAAACATTAAGTGTCTACTATGTGCCAGGCGCTATGCTAAGTGTTGGGAACACTAAATAAGACAAAAGACAGTCCCTCAAGGAGCTTAAAATCTAATAGGGAAACAACATGCAAACAAATATAAACAAAGCAAGCTACATACAAAGTAAATAGGAAATAATTAACAGAGGGAAGACATTTGAATTAAGAGGGGTTGGAGAAGGCTTTCAGTAAAAGATGGGATTTTAATTGAGGCTTCAAAGAAGCATGGGAGATGGGCAGGTGGAGTTGAGGAGGGAGAGTGTTCTAGGCATGGGAGACAAGCAGAAAAAATGCCTGGAGTCAAATGTCTTGTTCAAGGAATAGCCAAGGTGTCACTGGATCAAAGAGTACATGGCAAGGAATAAGGTTGAAGAAGATTGGAACTCTTGACTCTAGGTCCAATTCTCTAGCCCTGTGCAATGACTTGACCAAGGCCAAACAGCCAGTTAGTGATGAAGTAGGACTGGACCCTACTGTGAATGTGATACTCAGAGAAGAAAGAGCTTTACCCAGGTTTTAAGGCTTCAGGGAATCCTTCCCCTGCCCCAACCTGCAGATTCTTTTTGTTGTTGTTGTTGTTGTTGTTTTGTTTTTAATTTTTAATTTCCCCCCAATTACATGTAAAAACACTTTTTTAACATTTGTTTTTTAAAAATTCGAATTCCAAATTCTAGCCCTCCTTCCTTCTCCTCCCCACCTTGAGAAGGCAATCAATTTGATATAGATTTTACATGTGCAGTCATGCAAAACATATTTCCATATTAGTCATGTTGTGGAAGAAAACACAGACTAAAAAACCAAACCAACAAGAAAAATAAAGAAAGTTTAAAAAAAGTATGTTTTGATCTGCATTCAGACTCCATCAGTTCTTTCTCTGGACGCAGATGGCAATTTTCATCATAAATCCTTTGAAATTGTCTTGGATCTTGTATTGCTGAGAATAACTAACTCATTCACAGTTGGTCATTGTACGATGTTGCTGTTGCTGTGTACAGTGTTCTCTTGGTTCTGCTCATTTCACTTTGCATCAGTTCATGTAAGTCTTTCCAGGTTTTTCTGAGAGCATCCTGCTCATCATTTCTTATAGCACAATAGTATTCCATCACAATCATATAACACAACTTGTTCAGCCATTCCTCAATTGATGGACATCCCTTCAATTTCCAATTCTTTGCTACTACTAAAAAAGCTGCTATATTTATTTTTGTACATATAGGTCCTTTCCCTTTTCCTTTGATCTCTTTGGGATATAGACCTAGTAGTGGTATTGCTGAGTCAAAGGGTATGCACAGTTTTATAGCCCTTGGGGCATAGTTCCACATTTGCCAGTTCTTCATCTGTTGTTCTGAGCTGTAGTAAGAGGGCCACTAGAGCCTGGCTTCCTTCTCAGCCTGCCAAGGCCACACAGACTCTGGGCCTTGAGGTTTGGCTTTAAATTCCCCTGGTGTGTTTCTTCATTGTGGTTAGCATGAAGCAGGAAGGTTGCTGAATATCAGCCAGGGGTCAGGGAGAAGCTCCCTTCTCCCCTTGGCAGTGCCTCACTGACCCTTGAATTGGGTCCTATGGCCCTCCAGGCTGTCCTGCCTTCAGCTTCTTCTGAGCTCATTCTCCTAGGTCTGAATGCATGAGTCTGTGCGACCCTGCTCTGTCCTCTTACATCATTCTTCCTGTGACCCCCTGCTATTTCTTTTTGTGTACCCATCTAACTTCCCCTTGGGTGTCCTTTCCCCATGTGTGTCCCTCTGCCACTTTCCTTCTGGTTCCCATTCCTGTCTTCACAGATCCCCAAGGCCCTTATGCTGACCCGTGATTGACCAAAGCCTTGCAGTATGGCCTCATATCCAGGTCTGCTTTCCTTGAGGAGCTCCATGTTTTTCTTTGAAAATGACTCCTCTTGCTCTTCCAAGACTGGTCCACTCAGCTTTGAACTATCAATGATAGGAATATAAAGTAATTTTTAAAAAATTAATTTATTTTGAATTATTAACAATCTCTTTCATTTTGAGTTTTAAATTTTTCGCCCCCTCCCTCTCCACCTCCCTCCCCTAGATGATGTGCAATCTGATATAGGCTATACATATATATTTCTATTAAACATGTTTTCACATTAGTGATGTTGTAAGTAAGAATTAGAAC